AAGGGTTATCAATGTCGACTTGGACATTAACAATAAGGACCACGATGAGAAGACTAACCACGACGCTGATGAATGAGAATGTTTGAGAATGGCTGCGCATAGACAGCCAGTAAGATATCAGACAGTGAGGAAACGATGTGGATTACAAGAAACTATTGGAACCATACCCATCTTTAAATTTATCTGATAACAAAGAATAGCAAATTGTTATGGGTCACCTAAATGAACAAATGGAAACCAACGAATGCCCAGCATCAAGCAGCAATACAACATGGAAAATCAGAAACACGAGAGAGGAGGGGAAGACCAAAGAAGAAGATGGATTGCAGGAGTCACGGAAAACTTGAGACTTCATAACATCACAGTGGCATGATGAAAGCGATCTGAGCTGCGGGCCGCGGATTGGGCTTGGTTGCCGATCATAACCACTGTAGGAGCTCGTGCCGATGCCAAGCTGGTACCAGTCAGTATTTTAACAAAAGAAGAAAGAAAAAGCATCAGAAAGCCGGGAAATACCACCCTCAAAATGTTTTTTGGACATGTCCTACGGACGTCATTTTGGGTAGAGATATTAAAACTAAAGAATCTGACAAAAAACATCGACTCAATCAGAAAGATGCCGCCCTCAAAGTTTTGTCAGTTCTTTCGATGTCTGCTCAGTACAGGTCCATTAGACCAAGATATGGTTTCTGTTATATGGAGCAGCCCAGGCAAGCTTGCTGATTTGCTAACCATCCATTTTATTTCCAATGCCAGAGAGATTTATTTGCTACTCTAATATTGTGAAATTATGAAATGTATTCACTTCCCTCTGTAGCTTAAAGAGACCTGTAATTGGTTTCATTACAGGATCCCGTGTCAAAACAAAGGGGGAAAACTGTCTTTACTGCCTCTGTTTATAAATTGTTTAAATTTTTTTTCAAGTGGTTAGTTGTCAGTAATGACAATGTCAGGAAAAAAAGTTGGGATGGAACCAGTACTAAACAGCACCAAGAGACAATAGATCAAATGGTTTGGACATGTGTCAAGACTATCACCAGATAGTGCAGCATAGAGAGCACTGTCATAGAGCACTGTCACAGAGCACTGTCACTTAGGCATAATGGAAGCAGACCTAGAAGTGGACCACACAAGTGATGGATGGATGGAATATCCAAGACTGTAAACATGAGCATCTGCATAGCACCAAGGCTTGCACCTGATGCCTCTTCAGAATGTGACGCTGAATGGCAGGCAGAACAGGACTAGAGAAGAAAAAGATGTATTGCTTTTCTGGTGGCGTATGATAGAGGGGGCAATGAGCATGAGGATTTCAGGCAGTTGCCACAAACTGTGCAGGTTGGGACTTTTTAAACAAAAGTGAGTGCCCAACTACTCTGCCAAGCTCCTCCTCCCAGTATCAGAAAACCTAAGTTAAACATGGACGTTACTATAATTCTTGTCATAAACTGCAAGATAGATCTTCTTGTTTATTTTCATATTCACTGGACTGGCTGTAAAATCTAGCAGTAAGTTCTGGTTTGTTCATCTACTTCTGGGACTTTAGTCTTGTTCCAAAATTGTGAACTATGTACGCACATTTTCATTTACGTATCTGGTTTATTTGTATGCAGATGCTGATTACTTGCCTCTTCTGACAGATCCATCCTTTGACTTTGAAAGAAACCCCTAATTTGGCATTCTTGCTGGAGAGACAGCGGGTCTGTTCTTAAATGTCCGCCACAACATGGGGTCCCTGGGATGTGCAGCATAAACAAATGAATGTTGTGTTACAAGTTCTTGTCATAATTGTCTCTCCCAGGATCCAGACGCAGCAGTATTGTGCGCTTGGGGAACAAAGATTTGAGCCAAGCAACACTAGAACAGTGAATTGCTCAACACAAGCTTCACCAGGTCTCAGCAGCTCTTTGAATATTAATTGTTTGTGCTGCACCGGCTGTTATTGCATCACCAATATGGAGAGAAACTTGTCTGAATTTATCACCACTATAGAAGAAACTCCTAGCATAATTTAAACACTATAGAAAATACAAATTTAAAAACACACTATAGAAGAAACTCTACAATAATTTAAACACTATAGAAGAAATAGTTAGAGAAACAGAATTAACAACACTATAGAACAAACTCTATATAAATTTAAACCACTGCAGAAGAGAGACTTTACAGAATTTAAACACTGTAGAAGAACTTTACAGAATTTAAACACTATAGAAGAAACTTTACATAATTTAAACACTGTAGAAGAAACTGTAGAGAATTTAAACACTGTAGAAGAAAAACTTACAAGAAATTTAAACCACTGTAGAAAGAACTTTACAGAATTTAAACACTGTAGAAGAAACTTTACAGAATTTAAACACACCGTAGAAGAAACTTTACAGAATTTAAACACTGTAGAAGAAACTTTACAGAATTTAAACATGTAGAAGAAAACTTTACAGAATTTAAACACTATAGAAGAAAAACTGTAGAGAATTTAAACACTATAGAAGAAACTGTTAGAGAATTTAAAACACTATAGAAGAAGCTTTACAGAATTTAAACACTACAGAAGAAGCTTTACAGAATTTAAACACTACAGAAGAAGCTTTACAGAATTTA